GACTGCTGGATCAACTGAGTAACTAAGCAACTAAGCAACTCAGCCAGCCACTGAGAAACTGAGCAACTCAACCTGGTCTTAGGTTTTCGATTTGAGTTTGAATTTGAGTTTGAGTTTCAGTTTCAGTTTCGGTTTCGTTGACCCCGCAGATGCAGAACCTTGGAATTAGCATAAAGCAATGCGGCTGCTGCTGCTGCTGCTGCTCTACATATACAATAAAAAATCAAATAAATAAAAATAAATTAGAGTTGGGGGGGCCATAGTGGGTTTAAAGACCTGGTGGTTTTGGGCCACTACACTCTGGACCCTGGCCAAGATCCCGGCCAGGTGATTCCCCTCACTCCCCACTGCCCACTCCCCAAACACACACTTACAAGTCTTGACTATTTTTCACGATGACTTCATTAAGATGCGAGCATTGATATTGGAGTGGCACGTGCATGTGTATCTTTGTATCTATATATCTGTGTATGCATGTATCTGTTTCTTTAATTGTTTTTTGTTGTCTTTTGTATCTGTGTGTCTGTTGGGCAGGTGTCGAAACAATGTGTGGCGCGCAGCTTAATTAGAATGTTGCCACATTTGTGCTCGCTGTGTGCTCGAATAAAAGTGTCAGAACAAGTTGACTTGGCAATTTGTCAACCGGCAGTTCAGCCGGCTAGCCGGCTTTGCCATTCCAAATGCATATTCCAAATGCTTTTGATTGCAAACAAAAACAACTACATATAATAAAATATATATCCGCCAGCTTAAAAAAAAAAACGAGCTCAAAATCTGGCCAAGTCTCAACTCCAACCTGGGTGAGTGTGCGTCCATGTCCATGGATCCGTTCATGCGCAAGGTTTTCGGCCATAGAGAGACACATACTGGCCACTATTAGCACCACCGTCGCTGCCACCACCACTAGTCACTTAACCACCAACACCACCCAAAGTGCATTGATCTCAAAATGGCTCAAAAGCCATTGAACTGCAACTGCCAAGCAGCAGCCAGAGCAGTCGCAGCAGCCGTCGCAGTAGCAGCAGCACCACCAGCAACAGTCGCAACAGCAACAGCAGCAGCAGCCGGCACTGCTGCCACTGCCACAGTCTCCGGCTCGGCTCTCTCATAAGTTTTATGCTAATTTTTATTCTTATTTTGATTTTTATTTGCACTTATTTTCTGTCTGGCTAAAAAATGGGGAATACCCTGGGGGGCTTTTTATTTCCAAAGTCCATGTGCAATTTATTTTTTTTGGCAAAGATCCAAGGATTTTTTGGAGGGGGATTTTGTGGAAATACTTATGGAATCTAGTTCCCAGATCTTTTTGAAATTTTACTTTCAGTTTGTTGAATATTTTAGTAAAGTTCTTGAAAAACATTATTAAAATGAAGAAGAATATTTCTTTTGATTCACGAAATGATTTATAAACTATGTATTTAGCATAGAGTTTGACCAGATATACAAGTATAATGCTTTATAGGATTTATGGAACTTGCGGGATTTGTAGAACTTTAGAATAAAAACTTTAGATTTGTAGAAGAATTGTAGAACTTAAAGAATTATAGAACTTATAGGAATTATAGAACTATAGAACTTTTTGAGGATTAGGTGTGGAAATTGGAAATTCCAATGAAAAAATTCAAGTAAACATGGTTGAAGTTTATATTTTAATGATTAGTTATTGTACTGAACTCCAGTTATCTCAAACATATTCAAAGATTAAATAAATAATACCAAATAATTTTTTTTAATCTTCTACTATCTTCTTCTAATCTTCTACTATTTTTAAACCCTACAAAAAAAATAGCCAAAAAGTATTATGTATTAAGAATAAACTTCTGTAGTAGTTTGTATTTATTAATATTTCAAAGAGCTATAATAACTAATATTATATTGCATTTTAAGACTTCTCCCTTATCTTACCATTTCATATCCCAAATTATTATAGTGCCAGCATACCTCTTTTGAATCATAGTGTTACCCTATTCAGTTTGCCGGTCATCGAAACCGAGAATGAAATGAAAATGTGACCGAATGTAAATTCTTTTCTGCTGCTGCCAGTTGTAGTTTGTTTCTAATTTTTTATTTATTTGTTTCTTATTTTTTTTCTTAGTAGGTTCTAGTGGTTCTAGCAGTTACTGGAATCCACTAGATACCCGGCACGTTCTTTGGGTGGCTGTCTCTCTGTATTCTGATTGTTGATTTTTTCAGATTTGTCTGAATTTGTGCTTCTGTGGTGTGCTGAGCTTTTGCTTTTGATAGTTGGCGGCTGCTTTGGAGGGTTAAACGAACGCTGGCCTGGCCTATGAAAGATGTCAAGGTATCTGGTAAAATTCGTATTCGTATTCGTATTCGATTTCGTACGCCAATCGCATTCAATTCCATTCTGGTTGAGTCTCCAAAGACAAAGCTTAGTTTAAATTGGAAATGGATTTATCCGTAAATCCTGTAAAAGGGATTAGAAATTCCAAAAAAAAACTATATATATGTATTTCCACATCAACACCCAGTAAGCAACGAAAACCATAGACTTTGACAGAAAGAGTCTCTCGAAAAGTGCTGACCATCGAGGAAAGGGGGCATGTGTAGCGTTTCTCGGGCTACACAACCTTGGACTTTGCAACCAAAATCCGAGATGCTCCATTAATGGAGTCGCCAGAAACCAAAAACCGACAAAGTCGGCAAAAAATTTTGTTGGAAAGAAGGAAATGGTAGGGGTGTGCCAAAAAAAAAATTGGTGGGGAGGGAGGGAGGTGTCTGTGTGGCTTGAATTACCATTCCGCGCACAATCAAATCCGATTGGGAATTGTAAACATCGTTCGACAAAAAAAATTGGGTTAAAAAAATAAAGCAATGCAAACCACCTTGACACATTTTGTCCGCCATGGGGAAATCAAAGGGATCCGAGATGAAAAGTCTATCGTCAGTTATGTAGTATTATATAAATATATATACACAATATATGTTATATTATGGAGTGGACAAAAGGCAAACAAGATAGGGAATGCCACAAGTACATGGGATTGAGTAAATCAATCAATTCTGTTGCAACTGAAATTACAAAGTACTTTACTTTACTTTACTTAACTTTACTTTACGAAATTCATTTGTTTTATTTTTATTTCTTTTTATTTTATTATTTTTTTTTGTTTCTTCTGATAAGACTTATGTAGCCACGTGAGCCCTATTGTGTCCCCGATTTCGGATTCGTATTCGTCGTATTCGTATATTTTAGATTCCAGATTGAATTTCCATTTCCAATCCGAATTTTATTTTTATTTTTTTTTTTCGGTTCAAGTTTGGTGCGCAATGCAGTCTAATACTGATTAGGCTTGGGTCTTAGAATGGGTCTTAAATAAATATAAATATACAATCGAATATTATGTGGAAATGCGTCTCGTTTTTAATCACAACTGGGATTCTGGGACTCTGGGTGCTCTGCCCTCGACCGCCTTTGCTTTGAACATTTTTTTCTACTTCCACTTCCACATATAGTCTTGATCTTCGAGTAGATCCAGATCCTTCTGCCAGAAGGAAGGTTTATTCACCTCAACAGAAACGCAAAAAAAAAAAAAAAATAAAACAATATAGGGTTTAAAAATAATCCATTGACAGCCAGCATCCGCTTGTCCAGGCTCTAGGTTCCATGTTCCAGGTTCCAGGTTCATGTCCTGCCCTGTCAGGTTAATGATCTTTTGTCCAGACGACTGATGCCACTGGCGGCGGTGGCGGTGGCGGCGGCAACAGCAGCCAGCGGGTCATTAAAAATCGTACAGGTAAAAATTTCAAGTTAATGCCGCCGCCGAGGCAGGCAGAGAGAAGCCCAGACACCCAGACAGAGTCGTAGATCTTACTGCATCCTCCTCTTCCTTTTCCTCTTCAATTTTTTTTGTACATTTTTTTTGCTGCTGCTCCTTTGTCCAGCCACTTTTCTGATGGAAAGTCAATGGCCGGGAGGATCTATTTTAGCGCATGCCATTGGCCCTGAACTTGTTTTGTCCCGACCACCACTCCTTGGGCCTGCCCTTTCAATTAAGGGGGTAGTGTTACTCAGAAATAATTGTATAAAAATTTTTAAAAAGTTAATTTTCATTTAATAAGGCTTGAAGATAGTTTTATAGAGGAATATTATAAAGACTTATAGAGATTATAGCTATTATTTCATCCTCTTTACTACAGATCCTTTTACAATAAGAGTGCAATTTTACTCAAAAATCAGAAATAAATATTTTTGGTTATTAATATAATTATTTTAAGGAGAAGAAAAAAGAAATTATTAATTATAAAGCTTAAAGTTTTCTTTAAGATTAGCTTTTAGTTTTTTATATATTTAAATATTTCCATTTTCATCCATACTCTTTTAGAAAATTGTATTAATTTTAAGCCTTTAAAGTATCACCACCCCCTATGGATGTAGCCCTTTTCGGTTCTGCAGACCGTCATGAGTCAGTAGCGATTTCTGGAAATCCCTGTGGCATCTGCAACAGTAAAAGGAATGGCAATTCCAGGGTCTGTCTGAGACCTTTCTGTGGGGAAAACCCCAAAAAAATATGTACCCGAAGATGTACGAAATCCAAGGCTACATTTTAAGACTCTAAGAATCAAGAAATTGAGAAATTGAGAAGCAATTGAATAAATTCAAATCCAATATAGAGATAGGCCCAGACCCAGACAGATTCACTTTGGGTAGATAGGATCGGTTTAGTTCAGTTCGATACAGATTGGATTGGATTGGATTGGATGGATAGCTGAAGCCAAGAGATTCCAAGGTCCAAGCGAATCTTTGGTGTAATGTATGCGCATGCATATGATTTTCTCCTTCGAATTTCATTTTCAAATTTTTACTTTCGAACGGATTTCGAATCTTTTCTGGGTTCGGCTTTGGGCCATCTCTTTCCCACTCGCCAGGCTCCCAGGCCATTTCGCTGACGCATTTCGGTTTTATTTATTTATTTCACTTATTTTTCTGTTTTTTCCGTTTTGTTTTTGTTTTTTTTTTTTTGTTGAGCTCTGAGACCCGTTTCAAATTCTAAAGAAATCCCAGTAATCGACGAGCTCTTCGGGTGACCAGACGTCCTCAAACGGGTGACAAAGTACGAAAAGAAACTCGAGAACACAAAAGTGAAACAAGAGTGAGAGTGACATGGACACGGAGTTCTCCTCATGGCTGGCCACCCTGCTGGTGCCGGGCCTACTCATCCTGGTGATTTTGTATCTGTGCGAGCACCAGTACGATGATATTTTGGGTGTGGCGCCTCCAGGGCCCTGGGGCCTGCCCTTTCTCGGCTATTTGCCCTTCTTGGATGCGAAGAGACCGCACAAGTCCCTTCAGAAGCTGGCCCAGAGATACGGGGGTATCTACCAGCTCAAAATGGGCAGTGTCCGGGCGGTGATCCTGTCGGATGTGGCCCTCGTTCGGGACTTTTTCCGCCACGAGGAAATGGCCGCCCGGGCGCCACTCTACCTCACTCACGGCATCATGGGCGGTTATGGTAAGCTGCGAAGCGAGTCAGGTCCAGAAGTTACCGTATCATCCTTTCAGGCATTATCTGCGCCCAGGGAGCGCTCTGGAATCACGCCCGTCGCGAGGTCATTGCTTGGCTCAAGGCCCTGGGAATGACCAAACGCCCCGGGGAATTGCGCGATAACCTTGAGAGGCGTATAGCCAGGGGAGTGGACGAGTGCGTTCAAGTGAGTCGCATCCTTGACCCTCCGATCCTTTCGATTTTACGTAACTTCCTTTCAGATCTATGAGGCTGAGGCAGAGAAGTGTCCCGAATCTGAATTCGATCCTCTAGGTGGACTATTTCATACCCTAGGAAACATCATCAACGATCTGGTGTTCGGAATAACCTACAAGCGGAATGATCCCGACTGGCTGTACCTGCAGAAGCTGCAGGAGGAGGGCGTCAAAATGATCGGGGTGTCCGGCGTGGTGAACTTCCTGCCCTGGCTGAGGCATCTGCCGGAAAACAAGCGGAATATACAATTCCTACTGGAGGGCAAGGCCAAGACCCACGCCATCTACGACCGGATTGTGGCCTCCTGCAAGGAGAAGCTCAACGAGAAGCTGGCGAGGCACAGGGAGCAGCAGGAGCTACTGCGCCAGGAGAGGCGCAGAGCCCAAATGGAGCTGGGACAGTCGAGGGAGCAGGCAGAGGATGAGGAGGACCACGAAGGAGGCCAACAAGTCGGAGATATTCCAGAGGAAGAGGAGCATCAGGAGGAAGACGGCGAAATGGTGTTGCCTTTTCCAGACGAACATGAAGCGGAAGATCGCCAAGACGGTGAAGAGGCTTCAGAGGAGGACGAAAACGAGGAAGAGTATGACGATGAGGAGGAGGATGAGGACGATCAGGACGAGGAATACGAGCCCTATTGCATGTTGGAGCACTTTCTCATAAGCAAGATTCCCATGTCGCAGCTGTACTGCGACGATCAGCTGCGTCATCTGATGGCCGACCTCTTTGGAGCCGGCGTGGACACCGCCCTGGCGACACTCAGATGGTTCCTGCTCTACATGGCCCGCGAACAGGCTTGTCAGCGCCGTCTGCACGAGCTCCTGCTGCCCCTGTCGCGTTCACCAGGACTGGAGGAGCTGGAACCCCTGGCCTACCTGCGTGCCTGCATCTCGGAGACCCAGCGCATCCGCAGCGTTGTGCCCCTCGGAATTCCGCACGGTTGCGAGAGAGACTTTACCGTTGGGGATTATCGCATACGTGGCGGCTCGATGATCGTCTCCCTGCAGTGGGCCATTCACATGGATCCGGTTGCTTTTCCCGACCCGGAACAGTTCCGGCCCGACCGCTTCCTGGACGAGACCGGCGCCTATGTGGCTCCGCCGCAATTTATTCCCTTCCAAACGGGCAAGCGGATGTGTCCCGGCGATGAGCTGGCCCGCATGATGTTGACCCTTTTTGCCGGCCGTATCCTGAGGCGATTCCATTTGGAGTTAGCTGACGGCTGTGAGGTGGACATGAATGGGGAGAGTGGCATCACCCTGACACCGGAGCCCTATAAACTACGCTTCAATAAGCTGCCCTTATTGTACATGCGCGAAAATCCTAAGGATCCAGATGGTTCAGATCTGGATTAATTTATTTACTGTGGATTTGCCTTTTTTTCATTTTTTTTTTTTAGTTTTCTTTATAAAATATATTTGTAAAATTGCGTGGAATGGTGGAAAATAAAATGTGCCTTTTTTTAAAACCAAAGTTTGGCTTTCAAATGGATGTTCTCTGGAGACTTTTGTCTTTCAAAATCGTATAAAAAAAGCAAGAAGTTCTGTGGATTATTCGAGGCAAAGCTCCAGGAAGACCATTTCCGCTTCCTCCTTTAATTATGGCGACCGTGACAAGCCCTTAGCTTCAGGAAGATCATGGCGACCCTGTCTAGGCTCTTGGGATAAGAAGCATGAGGAAATGATTTTTGCAAGTGTTGAATTATTTTTGTATCTTTTTCAATAACATTTTGTCTTTATTTTCAAATTTTTTGCTTATTTTGATGTGTGCTTGTAAGACTAAACCACAGTTTGTTTTGTTGTTTGTTTGTTGTTTGGACATTAAGCTAGCACTAATACTATGAAATAAACAAGAACGTTAGCTAACTACCAACTAGTAATTAGCTACCAAATAGCATAAACGAATAGCGATATCATTAATAATAATAATAATAATAATAGCTAATGAATAATTAATAGTTTAAAGCTAGCAATTAAAAACTATGAAAAAAACATTAACATTAGGCCTAGCTAACCAATAGCAATGGAATTGGAACGTATCAGCTAGGGGTTTCGATTAAAATTAATTGAACACAGCTTCTTGGGGGTGACAGAATAGAATTGTTTCTCAGCAAAAGCCGAAGGATTCTCCGGGGAGTCCGTATCCTTTGACAGTTTAACTGGTAACTCAACGATGAGGCCGGGTGGAGGATGGATTTCGTGAATGCCTTCCTCTGTATTTTTTTTGTTTTTTTTTTTTAGAATTATTTATGTTGTGTAGTGTTTAGATTTGTTGTTTGTGTGTTAGGAACAAAACCGTGCTCTGCAGCATCAAGGACTCTCCAGGACTCGCCTTAGTTGGCTCCAACATTACGCATATGATGCGGTGAGGGATCCGTGGCGGTGGGGGCGAGGGGCCGGCGTTTCAGACAGACCTTGAAGGCCTCGGGCGTGATGGTGGCGCCCACATTGCCCTTGAGACTGGGCAGGGAGTGACCCGCCGGCAGGGCAATGTCGAAACAGTGCATGAACGAGGCGAAGAACAGGAAGAGCTCCATCCTGGCCAGGACATCGCCCAGACACATGCGTCGGCCCACACCGAAGGGGATAAAGTACTCAGGCTTCCGGACCTTGCCCTCGGAATCGATGAACCGCGAGGGACGGAACTCCTCGGGCTTCTCCCACAGATTGGGATCCATGTGGACGCTGTTGATCAGCGGGATGACATGTGAGCCGGCCGGTATGGTGTACCCATTGAGTTCCACATCTCTACAAAAGACAGAGGCGAGGAGAAGAGTGATTAGAATCGTTTTGCAATGGTTTCGATTGGATTGGATTGATTGCTTGCATTATCAGTGGCAGGGGCTGGGCCAGAAACTGGGGCAACACCAGTTGATAGTTTCTAGATGGCGGGAGCTTTAGATGGCGGGAGGAGGAAGCCCAGCTGAATGGAAAGCCACGACAATGAATGGTAATCAGTCGATGCGTAGAATGCGTTTTTTTTTTCAATCCAATGTGAATGAACGGACCTCGTGCATTTGCGTAGATCGAGTGCGTAAGCACTGGCTATCAGCTCCTCCTCCTCCTGCATCTACTCCATCTACAATCTCTATGGTATCTCTGGCTAGTGCTTACCTTGTGGGCGAGTGTGTGGTGGCCAAGGGAACTATGCTGGAGCGGCGCATCGACTCAAGAATGGTCGACTCGGTAATGGGCAGGTATTGCAAGTCCTCGATTGTGGGCAGACGATGACGTCCCACCACCTGGTCCAGTTCGTCCTGCACCCGACGCATCTCCTTGGGATTGCGCAGCATAAAGACGTTGATCCAGAGCAGGGTGGTCTTGATGGTTTCCATGCCGGCGGAGAACAGATCAATGATCACCTGGACCAGTTGCTCCTCTAAAGAATAGAGATACTGATTATAGAATGATGGTTTCCTAAGGGCTTCCTCTTAACTCACCATGATTCTTGCCGTCAAAGAGCTCGGCATCGGTTCCCTCGGCCTTGGCCTTCTCGATTTCGCAGAGATAGAAGTCCACCAGGTCCCGGACGTTATGGGGATCGAAACTCTTTTTGTGATCATCGATGACGTCCTGGTAGAAGCGCTGCATCTCGGCCCGGTTCTGGGCAATCTTGTTCTTGGCGGTGGAGATGCTGGGGAAGCACTGCATCGTCGGGATGTAGTCAACGGTGTGGATCTCGCCGAACAGCCGCATACCCTCCTCGATGAGGAAGTTGAAGCGCCGGAACTTGGGATCATCGATGCTGAAGCGAGTGGACATCATGAGGCTGCAAATCACATTGCTGACCGCCACGGAGATGACCGGCGAAAGGTCCACGGGCTGACCATCGCTGGCGTGCAGATGTCCAATAAACTCATGGACTTCGGTCTATGGATGGGGGGAGAAATAAGTCTCAGGGTCCCAAGGGATATGATAGAACTAGGGGCTTACCATAATACGCTTCTGCATCTGCTGCTTGCCGTTGCCCATGTAGGTCATGCCGAACTGGCGGAGCTTGTCGTGCAGAAAGCGGCGCTGATCCTTCCAAAGTTTTCCAGTGCTGTTGATAATGCCTGCAAATAAGGGTTATGGTTTTCATTAAAATAATACTAATTGAGGTAGGCTTTACTTTGGGCTTGTCTTTAAAAACAAAAAAAACCTCTTCTTTTTTATATATTTTTTATTATTTCTGAGCTTGGGGCTGGCCCACTTTGTCAATTGTTTGGGTTACGACGAGCAAAACGAAATACCAGAAAGGAAAAGAAATCCCAGCAAAATGCATATATAGGTATAAAAAAAAAAAAGATACAATATCTTTTTACAATCACAGCCAGAAACGTGATTTCTTGGCATCGCCATCTCAGCCAGAAAAGTGCCGCAATGCGTTATCATTGAAATGAATTAAGTGCAGCGGTAAGCAGGGGTTTAAAAAAATAAGAAATAAAAATAAAAAAAAGATAATCAAAAGAAATAAAATCGAAAATCGAAACTCAAAAATCAAAGAGAGTGACAACTGCCGACAAAAAGAAAAGCGGAATTTCTTCACTTTTTAACGCTTTTATTTTTACTCTTCTCTTCTTCTTTCTGTGTTTTTTTTTTTTTTTATATAACTGATTAAAATAATTAAGAAATTTAAATGGACTTGGCTCCCAGAGATGCCTGCCGCCCGATAAGTTTTTTGCTTTCACAGCGGAATAATGCGGGAAAATATTTAATTTCTTACATATATTGTATATTTTTTTGCAATTGCCCTTGGCGAGTGTTGCTGGGGCGTAGTAATAGTAAGAAATTACTAAAAACAAACAACGTAGTAAAAACTACTTACTATATTTAATATATATAGACCCACTAATCTCCTTCCACAGACTTATAAACTTTGATATAGAATTTAATCTGAACTCACCGTAACCGTTGAGGGTCTGCATGAAGGGGGTGTCCGGACGGCCGGTGAACTCCTCCCGCCGGAAGCACTCCCGGATCATCTTGTAGTCACTCATGACGACGGTCAGTTGGCTACCCAGCCGGGTGGAGAACAGGGAACCGTACTGCTTGGCCAGCTCCATGAAGCGGGTGTGCTTCTCGTTGCCCATGAAGAGCAGGTAACCGATGACGGGCAGGCCCCATGGTCCGGGTGGCAGTTTCCGGAGTTCCCGGTAGTGCCGGAGCAGCCACTGCAGCACGGTGACCAGGGTGAGGAGGCCCAGAAAGACCAGCAGCAGGTGCTGGGCATCGTCCTTCTGTTGCATTTGCAGTTGCCGCAGCAGGAACTTGATCAGGTACGAATCGGCTAACATTTTGGCAGGACTTTTCTTCCTTTTCCTCTCAGATCTTTGGGCTTTTCTTTGAAATTTTTCTCAAAAAATCTCAAGTTTTGGAAAAAAAAATTGGATTTTTTTTTTTGGCTGATCTTGTGTGTCTCTATTTGCTGCACTTTAGGGCCATTGGTAATAGTTTTGTTTGCTTGATACACTTGAAAAAAATTGTTTGTTTTGGGCCAAAAAAAAAAAAAATGCGGTTTATTTTGTAGATTTATTTTTGGTTTCCGTTGATGACTTTTTTGTTTGATTTTTTAGTTGGATTTGTTGGATGTTTGGGTTTTAATTTATAATTATTATTATTTTTTTTTAATTATTATTTGGAGGTGGATCTCTGGGACGTTAATGCTTGGCGGTGTGTCGGAGGCAGCGGCAGAGGCAGAGAGACCCGGAGACGATTTCGCGTCGAGCGTTTATAGTTTTCGACTAATGGCTCGACCGTATGTCCTTGCCACTTTTATAACAACTCGAGCCCGCCGCTTCGAGCGAGCGAGTGAGCGCGCCGTTGAGCTGCTGCCGCCGAGCTGCCGAGCTGTTCCAGTGCTTCCAAGCTGGCAGAGCGCGCGGCGCGGCGCTCGTGATCGCGGCAGAGGTTGAGGCGGCGACAGCAGCGGCGGTGGCGGTGGCAGAGGCGGTGACGGTGACGGTGACGGTGACGGCAGCGGCGGTATGGCGGCAGAGGCCACTGGCCAGTATAGTGGTGGCTGGGTATAGCAGTAGCAGAGGCTGCGACCGAAGCAGAGCGACGGCAGCGCGTCTGGCAAAGCTTGGCTCTCCCAAGCGAGCAGCAGAAGCCGAGGCAGAAGCAGAAGCAGAAGCAGCGACCGAAACAGCAACAGCAAACATATTAGCCCACCCCCCCACCCCCCGTCGTGAGAATCCCCCCCCTTTCGCCACTATAGTGAGACCACCCTCAACCCCAATCCCCAGGGCACTCCCAACCCCTTGTCCAAACCTCGAACCGAGCCAACTGCAACCCCAAAAGCCTTTGAAAACCCCCACCGGCCACCCCCACACCCCCCTCCCCTACCCCGCCGAGTCGAGAAATGTGCAGACGAAACAGCGCCAAACACTTCAAGCCGTTCGATGGGTAAAAGCTCAAACCGGCAACTCAAACCTCAAACCTGAAACCGGGCTTACAACTCGGTTCGATCGTGCTCCAACGGCCAAAACGACTCAAAGCCCCAAAGCCCCAATGGCTCAAGAGAGCGGCGCACTCTCACTCTCACTCTTTCTCTTCAATCGGAACAGGAAAAACTTCAATTTCCGTTTATGCCAAGATCGTTTGAGTTAAAAGCCCAAAGCGGAAGCTGAGCTGCATCTGCAACTGGTCCGAAACGGAATTAATAATTTGCATTTTAGGTCAATAGCTAGCAGACTCTTTTAAGCAAAAAAAAAAATGGATATTTTTGAAAAAAATTAAAGTATAGCTTAGTAGCTTAGTAGCTGTTGTTGTTGTAGTTTTTGGGGATTACAGGTTTAGGCGCTAAAGAGTGTCCAGTGACGTCAAAGTCAAGCCAACCAGTCAGCCAGGGCGGTTCAAGTTCAAAGCGATCATTGAATAACCAATCGAATAACCAAGAATTCCAAAAAAAAAATAACAAAAAATAATAATCAATTTTAAATCAAATGCATCTGTAATGAATTCTGCAGAAGTTTCTTTTGCTTTCGATTTCGATATTGTTATTGTTGGTATTTTATTTATTTGTTTATTTCTTTGTTTTTCGGTTTCTTCAAAATATATTATCATCGAACAGATGCCGGTTCTTGCGTCTTAAGGACAAGGTTCGACCCTCAAAAGACGGAAAATACGCGGGTTGTCAAGAAATTTCGAAATATTCATATGCATATGAAAATGAGAGTCATTGGAGTCGTCGGTGTTTTTAAACACTTTATGTTATAGTTTCTTGAAAAACAGATACCAAGGTTGCTGGTCTCTTTTGGAAAACCCTAGAAATTTCGATGCCCTTGACCCAGATACCAGTTCCAATTGTAATGCCCAAAATAATACCTATATAGCCAGATTCATCCAGATACAAAAAAAATCATTGCAAAATGTCAAATGTCTCAAGGCCACACGCGCCAAAAAAAAAATATGGCATTTGGATGAGTAATCCAGACAGTCCAGAAATCCAGCAGTTAATAGCAATTGTACAGTAGAGCCCTTTTGCCTCAAAGACGAGCACGCTGCCGCAAAGATACACATCTCCAAGATACAGTCAATGAACTGCAATATATAGTATCTCGAACTAAAACCGCCTAGGACCCGCAACAGGGCTAGGAAATACAAAAAAAAAAAAAAATACAAAGCACTTCGAGCCGAGACAATGGCCCCAGAGGTCAACGACTTCAGGGTAGAACTCGGAACAGGTCGAAACCGCGGACAGTGGACAGTGGATAGCGGACAGCGGGACAAGGAAGAGGGTGTGGAGGGCAGGACCTGGCCGGCCTGGGGTGACCAGGTAAGGATTCCACATGCTGCTAAGAAATGAAAAACGAGAACAGGAAAACTGTGCTTCACCTCTCTCTCGGCTGCGATGGCCTTGGCTGCGGTCAGAGCCGAAGTGTTCCAGGAACTGCCGGCTAAAAGGCTAATGACTGGCCCTAGTCCCTACACCAAGGATGCTACTCTCGCCACCATTGATGACTCACCATTGTGGTATGCCAGAGGAGATCAGGCTATCGGAAATCTGCAATCTAGAATCGGGAACTGGAGTCTGGAATGTTTCGCAACGATGGGTGACTATCCTGAGAGTTCCACGAAAATCCCATGACTCTTGACTCTGATTATTTCCCCCAAATCCACCTCCCAAAGACTCGAAATCAAATCACATTTGATAGCGGACCCACCACATCACTCACATCCGATGTGATAACGTGTTTTTTGCCACTGCCACTGCCACTGGCCCCTCCAAGTGCGATTTTTGCATACTACATATAAGTAACGTGATTTCGCACACCGATCATATACTGTATACCATACCACACCATACTATACTATAGTATACTATATGCTTGTAGAATGATTTTGAATTTGAATTAATGCCCCAGCGATTGGCGATTGCGATTCGCAATTCTATCATTCCAATACGCCAATGCGTATTATTTTCTTCTCCCGGTTCGCAGCTTTCTTTCATCTGGATGGGTTCTATTCTATATACCCTATAGATCATAATTTTCTCTAGGGTTTTATAGGGAATATATATCATCTCTTATAATCTATAAATTATTCCAGGTATCCTTTTGTAGATTAATCTTATTCTTTTGATTTTAATCTTCTTCAAGACTTTTCCTTGCTTTCTTTAGGAATATATATGCTTATATCATCCATAAATAATTCCACTTACTTCTCCCAAATGATTCTTAAACAAAACCCCTTAGAACCCCCCTAGGGTATGGGCATCTTCGAGTCTAATATTTTCCTGGAATCATGATGCAATATTTAGAATTGTTTTTGCCGCAATTTAATGCGCGCTGCGACCTTGGCTGGCCGAACAAAGCACCATTCTATACTTAAACACAAAAACGCAATAAATAACAAATTTGCCAAAAAAAAAAGAATACATAAAATAAAATAAAGAACACACTCTGGGCATTAAATACCACAACGGTGGATTTTTTTTTGGTAACTGGACAGAGGACTTTCATGATTTGCAAGTTTAAAAATAAAAAGAAAAACATAATAATGTGGGATATGGTTTGGCAATTAGATATTGTTATGAAACAGTGCGTTTCATAGTCATAAAAGCAGAGGAAGCTAAATAATTTAAATAGTATTTGTTGCTGGTAATGATTCTATAGAGATGTTTATAGATTACTCTAACAAAGAAAGCTTATAACTTGGGGGAAAAAATTAAATATATTTTTATTTATGTATATTATGCATACCTGGTACTTGTATAGGAAAAGTCTATTTTATGGTCTTAAAAGACATTTTAAAGGAAGAATCTATAAAATACAAAGCTAGAAACATCCTAGAAAGAAAAAAAACTCAAGTACCGGGTATCGTTTAGTCGTTTAACTTCAATCACAGCCATTTCTAATCAAAATACACCCTCCAATCACCAATCACTGATTAATATACTTTATTATAATATTTGTTCAATCCTTTCCGATTGCCAACTATTGTTTACTGTTTACATCTAATATTTCACCAGAAAAATACGGGGGGATGATGACCCCTGGAATGGGGAATGGAATTTTTGTCCCAACAGGTGTAAACAAATTAGTTATTTTTCTTTTTTTGGTTTCCCGAAAGTTCTGCGCAAAAGAAGAATTCTTTACGCAAAAGTCCTAATAATATGGGGGAGGGGGAGCAAAAAAAAAAAAAAAAATCAGAAAACAAACTCATAGATACGCCCTGGTACCCGGGGCTGGCCATACGCGCCAGTTACTCGCCATAGTGGGAGATACAAAGATACAATATCTGAATATGCTAAGCAGGCACAGCAACAACAACTGGCGGCTTTTGCTGCTGATCTTGAACTTGAAAAGCGACTCGAATTCCTGGTAAGCAACAAAATCATAAACAACGCCAAGTTAAAGAGTGAAAAAAAAAAAAAAAAAAAATCGAAAGACAAAAAAAAAACTCACACACGAAATAATAAATAAATAAATACGAAAATAAACGCCACCAGCCACATCACAACGTCGAGTGGGTTTCGTCTTCGAATCCCGCCACCCCTTTGGCACTCCACAGCCACCCCTCGGAAGAACCCCCTCTGCCAACCCCTTGCCAACCCCCTTTTGAACTTGGCCAGAAAACGGGAATATGCTTTCAATCGAATGGAATATTATGAAATTCGCGACAATAACAAAAATAAATCACGATCATTCTCCCCATCCCCCTGTATCTCATCTACATATATATAGATATAGTTACCCCCTGCCCCTTTCGTATTCGATGGAGATAGTTCATCCGTTCAGTTCATCCTTGTGGCCTTGAGCATTCATTAGTTTCCATTCACCAAGCGGCAGAATCTAAAAACGCCGCCACTCGAGACGACTTGAGAAGACGCCGTAAAGAATGTGAAGCGGTTCGTGCTGGTATGCCGTCAGGTGCGCTACACTGAGACAAAAATTAATGCAAATAGAGATAATTAAGAAGCCTAGATTTTAATAATTAAAGGAAGGGACTTTGAAGACTTGGGAAAATGTGTAACTTGATGGTTCTAAGGGCATTAAGGCATTAATACCTGGTTCTGGTTTTCACTTTCCTTCTTGGTATCTCTAGAATTCTCGAGTGG